TCGCTGGAGCTGGCCCCGAGCTGTGACGCTCGGCTCGGGGGCAGAAAGGAGCACGGATTGGAAACGCGCCAGGGCCCCATCTCGTCGAATTGGTGGCGCCAGGCGGTGGAGGTGGGAGGTGGGGTGTGGGTGGGCTTTGGAGAGGTGGTGCAACCAGAAAGCGTGCGAAATCGGGCTATCATTTGTGACAAGTCGCGTCTCCCCCAGTTTTTGTTCCAGTGCTTACAACTTCAGATCTGGGAGGCCCTGTGAGCGAGCCGTGCTTCCGTCCAGTGCCGAGATCCCAAAACACCGGATGGGTGCAACCCAGCACCAACCTCCAAAAAAAAATCCGCACACGTTATATTTTTCCCCACCCAAACTCTATAGAAAAAAACATCAAGAGAAAATCAATTCAATTGATTGCAATGCCTCGTTATCATAACACACGCCTCGGATCCTCTAAAAACTACAAAGGGCGAAGGGAAAATGATTGCCCATTAAATTCCGTATAAAAAAATAGGCATTGGCTATTATTTGGTGCGAGTAAATTGACTTTAAAGTGCGCCCTTTTTGTTTACGTGTGCGGATTTTTTTTGGAGGCTGGTGGCAAGGCCAGAAAACTCTACCCATCCTTTAACCCGACTGATTTCCGAGCCGTGTCGCAATCCTGCAGAAAAAGTTGCTAACCTGCTGTGTTCCCCGACACGGCAAGCCTCCCGCAACCTTGACCCCAACGAGTGTGCGAGGCTCGGTGGCTCGTTGGTTGACTTTTTATCAAGGATCGTCATGGCGTGGAGGTGTGGGGGTTGACGGGCGAGCCGCCCACCAAATTTCTTTCTCATGGGGCTTGTGGCTTTTGCACTGTGCGCTTTGTGGGTGGCGGGCAACATCACTTGGCCAGCATCTTTCAATTGATACAACAAAGAGGACCCGAGTAATGCGGACAGACATTTGAAAAATTCCTGGAATGCCCGTATTTAAACCTTCCATTTATTCCCACTTCGCAAAACGCACTTCCACGAGCATCATCCCTCGTATTTATCGTAATGTTTGAAAGAATTAACAATTACGAGAATGATTAAGTTGGCCGCACAGTGTCGGAAGCGGAAGGATTGTATGGGTCCATGTGTCTTGGCGCGGCCTCCAGATGTGACGTCACATTCGTTTTTTCCCAAGCGCGCCAGGTTTCTGCGGAAGACGCCGGATGTTGTCTATTCGGTGAGAGTTTGGGAGCTCGCATTCTACATAGGAATCAGTAGCCTAGAATATCTCACTAGCCCTCTTTGTTCTTCTTTTGATGGTGAGGCCGACAGGCAGTCACGCAATCCACCTAAGGGGGTCAAGTCAACGGCTCTCGCGGCACGTGCCAAGCCTGCAACGCTAGTGATGCCCAACCAACCGTACCAACCTCACCGAGCACAGTTTGAACAACACCCAAGTTGAACAGACTGGAATCCTGCCAAATCCCACCATCTCTGAGAGCTCTCCAATTACATTGGAGAAGGCAAGGGTGGGTAAAATCTTCTTCCCCTCCGACAACCAGCCCATGCATCCCTTTCACTCCCACGCGGTGGACCAGACAGCTCCCAGCCCCTCTTTCGATACGACAGTGGGCACCGAGGTTGCAGCGGTCGCTGTCGCGTGGGAGCAGTGAGAATGCAGTAATCCGGTCGGTGTTCTTTCTTGGCTGTAAACAGATTAGGCCGTTGGATGACGACACTGTGTAAAGAACTGAGGAGATGGACACCAAGACTCGTAGTCCTTGAAAATCATCGGAACAAGAAAGTATTTTCTTGCAGATCGAACTTGGAAAGGGATCTCGGCTAGCAGCCAAGGACTCCAAGCAATTCCCAAGACCGCCCAAGCATGCCTTGGAGCCGGCCGATCACCCGATCCAACATCCAGTCAGCCAAATCCACAAGCCGCACCGTGGTAGATAAGCCAAATCGCCATCGACGAGTGATATCCTGAATACTGGTGCCGATACCGCCGTTCTCAAGAGCCCCGACTTTGCCATCCCACCCCATGTAGCGCCTGTCCGAGATCCACCGGCCGTATTCCAGACCCTTTCATATTTCGCCGCTTAAGGACCGTTTGCTCCGTCCCTCCCCACTTGCGTGCCGGCTGGCCCGATATGGTCTCGGCCTTGTCGTCGGGGTTTAGGGGAATGTTAGGGAACGATGGGGAAAGGAGGTGGGGGGAAATGCACTCGAAACCCGAAGCGCAAGGCTTTCCCAACAATGGGTTCGTGCCGCCTTTCTCATGGCTTCCAAGATCGCTTCTAGATTCCATGCCGGGACGAGGAAAATACTGCAACAAGAGAGGAGAGGAGAATGAACGACCAAGGTTACGGTATCAGCAAACAAGGCTGAGAAAAGAACGATTCACGGTGAACTCAGGCTGACAAGAGCAAAAGAAAAGACGATGATATTTAGGACAAGTGATATTAGCAGTGTGTATCGCAAATCACAAATCTCAACCCCAACCATCCCTTGGAAAGAGGAGCCAAGTCGAATCTGGGCCACTCAGGGGGGCGCCCTTGACCCAGCTTGCCCGCTCCTCACCCGCTTCTCACGCTGGATCTCCGTTGTCTTGGTGAGGCGAGGCTGGAGCCCGCCGGCGACGTCGTCGCACTGTAGTTCTGGTCTGTTGGTGCATGTCAGGAGGGATCGCCGGGCGCGGTATGTGCTCAATGTCTAGGCAGGGGAAACCGACGAGTCACTGCTGTGGCGGCACCCTCCCGAGCGCTACGGCCTTTCGAAACCGGCTTCCATTGTAGGTCGATGGCTGGCTCAAGGGTCCCGACAGGCGTGCGCATCTTGTCGACCGGGTATTTGTGCAACGATGGCTGGCCTTTTCTGCGGGCCTCCATCTGGGGAGCGTGTGAGTTCGCTTCGTGTCTATCAATGGCCGAGATGTCCAAGACTGCAACGGGTGCTCACACTTGGACACCACGAGGCCTGTCGCTGCCAGGCCATGGAGTGATGCCAGTGATGGGACTACCTAGGAATTAAGGGGTCAAATGCCGGTGGGACAACACCAACAGAGATGGATTGATGGGCAAGTATTAGGTGGCTGGTGACACTTGTGGTTGTGGAAATCGGTCATCGTCGGATCGGGTCTGGTTCGGCGCCTCTCAGCGCCGGGACCCCATCCGCCAGAAGCACTCACAAGTAAATACTGCTGCACATGATCCGGTGAATTCTGGGGGAGCGGCGGCCTGAGCGGCGGTATCTTCCGGGTAGCACGTGGTGCTGAACGGTCCCTAGTCGGCACGACGATAAAGCTACACCCTGGCTTAGTCCTGGATCTCGAGCGCAGCAGCCCCAATGAGCATCCAAGTTTGAATTCCAGGCAGTCGAGCCGGATCAACAGTCACACGTCCCTGGATTTTGCGTTTAGCACCCGCCTCCTTCGGAGTCCTCTTGCCCTTGGCTGTTTGTTCCAACACACACACACACACACACACAAGCACCTGCCCGTATGGGCCAGTCCGGGGTGGTGCAGGAAGTGTGCGACCTCGAGCGCACAACCAGGAAGTCTCGGCGCGGCCTCGCAAATCGGCTGCAGGATCGGCGCGGTGTCGTTTCGGGGCGGGTGGTCCAAGTCGGAGGGGGGACGGCGAGGGTGTGGAGAAGCTTCCGATCATGGCGGTGTTCTGGGAGAGTCGACAAGATCCAGGGCGCTACAAGAACAAAACTAAGCAGCTCGAGTACGTGCTAGCCTTTACAGGCTTTTATTATTCTTCGGCCGGGCCTGGAGCTTCGGCGGGCCCGCTTCTTGGGCGCCAGTGGTGAGTACTAACACTGTCTGACCTGGAGGTCAGGGCGCTTTCTGGGGACCCTTGATGGGCCGGATGTATCCGGCCCCATTCGCCTCGCTGCCGGGGGCCCCAGAGTCCATAGTAATGTGTCTAGTGGGTAGCGGGAGGCTAACAATTGCCTCGGAAGGCTTGGGTTGGTGTCGAAGCGTATCTGGTATACCGACCCCTTGGATCTGGGGATCCCGACGACCGAGGACGGGTACGGCCTCTTATTGGATCCAGCGGCACCACGCCGAGGAGGAAGTGTAGATGGCTTTCATCAAAAGCCGTCTTCGACTGACCAGATATTGTCAACTAGACTAGGGAATCTAGTCCCGGACGGCTCAAATATCCATACGCGAAATGTGGAGTATATCGTATGGTTCACCACGGATGGTCTCAAAAGAGCGTGGCTTGCTCACAAGAGCTTGTGGAGGGTTGGGGCACAGGTATATCATCCCCGATCAAGATACCTCACCCCGTCGTGATCAACTTCATGGTGGCTTTGGCAGAGGGCGGTAGCCTTGCTATCAACGGCCTTGGGCGGCTACCAGACAGGGAGTTGGTTGGACAGGTTGGGTCAAGTTGATCGGCGGCAGGGAATTCACTCCACAAAACAACTCTGTGGGGGATCTTCCTATTTTCATCAGGCCGGACCATGCGCATCATGTCATTGTAAAGATGCATGCCGAGTGTCTTTGGTGCCAAAGACAAAGAGACGGAGGTGTTGATGCCGTTGGTGGGAATGTATAGTAAGAGGGTGCCGTTGAAGACATCCAAGGCATGCATGCCTTTGCTTCGGATCTAGAACATTCCAGGCGTTACCCTTCCTAGCTACCAAGACAGTCTACAGTCCGCCAGCGCCAGAAAATGTGCTCAAGTCGGCCGACTGGTACGATTGCAGCATGTCACAGTATTGCTCCTTCAATCCCGGGCTGGACTCGTTGTTTATGACTTACATGCCGGACGCTATAGCCCCTTCCTTGTCCAAAGCGGCTCCACCTGCTGGGCTGTAACACGTGAAGAGTCAAGCCCATAGTATAAACAAAACAATGGGAAACACCGGGTTCCCTAAATTTCCTAGCTATCTATCTACCTATTCCCGCCACGTTTGTGCTAGGTTCCACGGTAGAGATTCGGGCATAGCAATCGTTGCGTTCCATAGGGCTTCACAGGGCTTGACGACAAACGGGAGACAGTGTAGATCAAGAAACACGGGCGGCGGCAAACGACTCGCAGGCGGTGCCGATTGGAGTCGGTGTTTCGTTTCGACGACAGCATAGTGGCGTCTGAGGCGGGATCCTGACTTGCGACTGTATCACAAGGCCGAAAATGCCGGGCGGAGATCACGACGGCTCCGGGGTGGATTCATGGACGGGCCGGCGTCGGCTGGGCACGCGTCGAGCAGGCAGAGGGAGTCAGTCAGGTGAGGCACGCGCTGTATGTAATGAGTCAAAGACTGGGGGCCCGCATTTTCAGCATCGGGTCAGCAAGCCCCGGTTGGTGACTCCAGCGGTGAAGTCGGCGGCTCTTTCTCGACAAGCCGTAGCGTCGGGTTGAGAGGCCGAGTTGCCCTCATTGTTCATTGTGCGGCGACGACGGGTGGACCACGGACTCGGCCGAGCGGCGGGGCAGCGGACCCAGCGCAATTTGCTTCTGCGTGCCCGAGAGGGGCGGTGGAGCAGTTGTCCACCCACTGCGCTGTCATCGCTGTCCCAATGTCAGTCGCCTCTCCGCCGTTAGGGCCACTTATGTAAACAGGGCGCAGCCGTCTCGTGCGCTTATGCTGGAAGGACAACACATTGGGAGCGACGACAATAGGAGGAGCCGCATACCATGCATGCGCCTTCTTAGTCGGGTCCTAGACAACGGCTTGCTATTGGAGGCTGGCGGGCTGACGACAGACGGTCAAGTCGGTCGACGGGCAATCCTGCCCCAAGGTCTCTTCGGCAGCCGCGGGCGGCTTTTGCGCCATGGTGGATGTTGACCATTCCGCGTAAGCGGCACAAGCGGGAGTTGCTAGCGCACAGTCAACAAGGGAAGCCCGCGGGTACAACGGCCGCCTCGATCGGGTGGCGCTGCCCGAAATTGACCATGATGCGTGGCTGCGGGGGTTGTTGCGTGGTGCCCACGCGATAGGATGATGAGCTGGTGATTTCGCGACCAAAAAACGCCCCGGACTAAAGACCCCATCCAGCTTGGCCCGTGGGGGAACTGATACTATTTCCATCTTGATCTCGAGAGCAGGGCTTTTTCAGCCTTCCAGGTCCCTTGCACAACCTTGTCCAGGTTTTCATGTTTCTTGCGGCGGATCAGTCATGCGTTGCACCCTTCTATATCTCCCTTTTTTCACCCTGTGATGCTGCCCGTTTCGGTGCCATTTTTGATGGGTGGGCGATCTTAACGTGGGCTGTATGGAACCTCTTGTCAGCGCAAGCGAAAAAAAAACAAAAAAAACCAAAGTGGCCTCGTCTCGGCGACCCGAAAGGACGCCCCTCCAAGTGTCTCTGCTGATCCTAGCTTGGGATGATGCACGACTCCACTGCAAGGGTCCAAGCCCCTCCACAGGGCGACGGGCTGGGAACCAATGGGAAAGCGCGCTTCCCTGGCATCATCCCCTTTTCGAGCGTCGCGACTGCAGCCAAGGCCATGGTGTTGCCCTGTTCGGTAGGAGGCCCGTCTCAGTTTTCCTCAAGGCGGGCTCTTTCCGCCGAGAGCGCTCATCTCGCATCGGCGAGGAGCGCGGCCGTGAACAACAACGGTCCAAAATGACAATTCGGCGAGGCAGTGGAGCGACGGTTGAACACGATTTACTTGGCAAATGCTCAATCTCGAACGGGCGTGACGGGCGACGACGACGAGCAGACTCAGCACCTGCACCAGACGGGCAGCCTTGCCACAAAGCGGGGGTTCGACTCGACATGGAACCCTTTGCGGCTGCGATTTCCAAACACCGTCCCTGGTCGCCAAGATTTAGACCTGTCAGGCAAAACGCCAACCTGTGACGAGGCGGAGCCTGCAGTGGGCGTTGTGGGCGCACACCAGCATCAGGTACCGTGGTACAACAACTCTTTGCTTTCTCTTGTTTGGGCAACGTGCTCGCTCGAGGACCTTGGCCAGCCAGGAACGGGAGAACCACAAACGCTTGTGGGTGCTGCCAGCCCAACTGCGGCCACGATCGCTCCCGGATTAATGGATCGCATCGCCCTACCATGCGGCGGCTCGCTTGTCTGGGCGCCCAAGCCACCCCCGTACCTACTACACAGTAACACATCTGAGGGGGATGCCTCGAACCGACCGGCTCGTGTTCGCGCTCGCCTGCTGGTTTCCAAACGCACAAAAGCAGGGTCGTGATTGTGGCTGGCGGCCGACTCATGCTAGCTGCCCTGAAATGCGCCCTGAACGTGCTCGAGAGAGAGTTGCGGTACCTGCGTCCAGCATCAGATGCCGGGTTCCGGCTTCCCACCCACAGACGTCGCGGGCTAGAAACGGTGGCGGCTGCCGCTCCTGCTGGCCAGCCCGCACGCACCCAATCCCACCCCGCGCCTGCAGGAAGGCCCGGCCGCGTTGAGGCAGGAAGCTTTTCAAGATTGCCGCCCCCCCAGCCGCCACTCCTGCCAGATTAGCTTTCCCGCTTGCTCTTCCAGCGCGCTCCAGCCTCCTACGAGGAACAAGTACCGTAGCGCTCAGCAACGAGCCGCCAGCAACCAGCAACCGGCCGGAATCGTCCCAAAACAATCTCGCAGGGCTGGCTGGGATGCATCATGACGGGGTGGGCGGACTCGCCAACCGCTGTGTGCCATGTTGACCACCTGGGGCGAGGGTGGGGAGGCTGTGGGATTCACAAGGCAGGAGGGCTCCGCATGCAGGAGGGCTCCGCATGCAGGAGGGTATGGCTTGCCGTGGATAGACCTGATGGCGGGGTTTCCGCTGGCGGATGCCCCAACGGAGAAAGGCTGGGCAGAAAAACCAAAAAAGAAGACAGAACAAAAAAAAAAAAGCAGCGCGGGTCGGACATCTGATACTGGGGTGCCAACCCCTTGGAGGGCCACCGACGCCAAGATAAAAAACCCCCCGATGCCCACACACCCACACCCCCTTGAGGCCTGGTGATGCATCCACTTCGCCTTGACCACAAGCTCGCCCCAATTTCCCGCCCCTTGCTGCATCGATCTTGGCTCCCCAAGTCGGTGGCCTTGGGTTTTGGCTGTTGCATCTCACCTATTTATCGCCGTTTCGCCGTTCTGGACGGCTTCTTGCTGCCGAGAGGATTGGCTTCCTTGTGCTTCTCTCTTTAGCTTCCCTTACATATCTTCTTCTCTAATCCCCTCGAACTGGGTTGTGTCTGCCGTTGATACGACAGCACATTTTTTAAAACCAACCACACTTGTTTCTAGTGATCGTTGTTTGTACTCGACATCCCCAGCTGGATTCCTTTTTGGATAAACTGCATTCTTTTCCCACAGCCTTTGGCACATCACATTCACACATCACACAAACATGTCTTCCATCAGGTTAATATCTGTCTCTCTCCTGGCCACCGTTGCCATGGCCCACCCTCACGTTATCGTTGACACCGTTGGCTCCCTGGACCCACGTGCCCTCTCGGCACGCCCCCGGTTCGGCAACCTGCCCTACGGCATGTCCCTCACCTCGTGCAGCAGGCCCGGCCTGATGGCTCTCACTTTCGACGACGGCCCGGGACCTTTCACCTCGCACGTTCTGGACCTTCTCGAGCGGGCCGGCAACCTCAAGGCCACCTTCTTCCTCAACGGCCAGAACGGCAACGGTGGAATCACCGTCGCCGCGCTCCAACCCGTTGTTAAGCGCATGGTGGCGGCCGGCCACCAGGTCGGCAGCCACTCCTTCAGCCACGCCAACTTTGACGAGATCACCGAGGCCGAGCGCGAGCAGGAGCTCGTTAAGAACGAGGAGGCCTTTGAGGCCGTTCTTGGCTTCATCCCCACCTACTTCCGCCCGCCCTTTACCGCGTGCGGCGCTGCCTGCCAGGCCACTGCTAACAGGCTGGCCTACCGCATCACCGACTACAACCTGGACACCAAGGACTTTGAGGGCGACTACGTGGCTGCCAAGAAGAAGTTCGCCGATGGCGTTTCTCAGAACCCCAACTCGTTCGTCGCGCTCGCGCACGACATCCACGAGCGCACCTCCAACGAGCTGGTTCCCTTCATGATCGAGCAGGCCAAGGCTAAGGGCTACCAGTTCGTCACCATGGGCGACTGCCTCGGCGACCCGGCCGAGAACTGGTACCGCGACCCCAAGAGCGGCCAGCCCTTCCGCGGCGCCAAGCCTCCCGCGCCTTCGCGGGCTAGCTCGTCGGCCGCCCGCCCCAGCTCGCCGGTCGCCAGGACCAGCTCGACCTCGACCCCCGCTGCCGCCATGCCCACAGGCGGCCGGGCCACCAGCAGCTCGGCCACCAGCAGCTCGGCCGGCGCCCGTACCACCTCTGCTACCACCGGCTCCTCGACGACCCCCGCCACCCGGGCCACGTCCTCCTCGGGCTCTGCTGCGACGACCAACACTGCCAGCCGCGGTCTGGGCGGCGGCGCTGCCGTCCCCATCTTGTCCGGTACCGGCGCTGGCACTCCTCGTGTCAACGGCACTCGTCCCGTCGCCACTATTTCGCAGCCTCCCATGTCGACCCTCCCCATCAAGGACGGCGCAGCCCGTGCCATTGTTGCTATGAACACCATTGTCGGCGTAGCATTGGCTGTGGCTTTCTTGATCTAAGCAGACCGGTGTCACGAGCAACAAACGAACAAAAAAAAACACTCAAAACAGCAAGCCGGCTGGCTCATCCTTCTCGCTGGCTCATCCTTCTCGCTGGCTGAGAGCAGATATTTCTGCTCTTGGTAATACCGACATTTACCACCTTTCTCTTTCTATTATCCCGGCTTGCTGGCCCACCACTTTTTCTTGTACCTTTTTTTGTCGGCTGGCTAACCATGTCGACGGTTGGAGGCGCACTTCGCTTTCCTGATACCCGGATTTGGATAACAAGGGGACGATCGGTTGGCTATAACGGTTCCGGCGTGTCTGGAGCACGGGTGGGACTGCTCTGGAGCATAAAAGTTGGCCTGCTATCGAAGCAGGCATTTCCTTTTGTGTAGCACTGTCCCGGCCAGGGCGCGCCGGGAGGGCGACGCTTGCGCTTGAGTTGCGCGCGGCCCAGGGAACATTGTTCCCCGGACGGGACTACCGCCATAGTTCTTTTTTTCCTTGACTGTCTTGTTTTTTTGTTGTCATGCATGTCAGGTTCATTGGGCTTCATCAACATAGCGTTTGATGCTAATTAACGAATAGAGAATACACTTTATCGTTGCAATATGTTTTCCGTGGCCTGCAGATCTCCCCTATATTTTGCTTGGAGCGGGAATCCGCATGCCGTTTGTTTCCAGGCGTTGCCTCGTGGTCGAGCATCATCGCCTGGGCAAAATAAGGATTGGTGTCAAGTGAGACGGGAAACACCGCTGCCGTGTGCTTGTTTTTCGTGGACGAGCGGCACAACCCCCCAGTCTGGTATCATGCAGGCCAAGCATTTAGCACCACGGGCGCGCTACACTGTTTACCCAGCCACGAGACTAGGATCGGCCCGGTTATAAACAAGCACTTTTAATCTAGCGGCACAGCGCCCAACGCCTCCCCCTCCCCCCTCAACTCACCCACGCCGGGCTCCGCTTGTCCAGGAACGCAGCCACGCCCTCGCGCGCCTCGGCCGACGTCGCGTGCACGGCCATGACGCGCCCGGCCCAGCGCGCCGCCCCTTCGTACCCGCCACCACCCCCATCCCCCATGCCGACCTGCGTCCAAAACGCCCACTTGGCCAGCGCGGCCGGCTGCGCGGCCGCGCCCGCCAGCCGCGCCACCGTCAGC